AAAAAACCTACTATATCAGAATGATTTCCCATTACCTAATCACAACTACATACTTCAAGAAATAAATTTACGTGAGGAACTCGTGATATCGAAAAAACTACGACCGAAACACTTATTACAACGAAATTTCGAAGACTAACAACTCGAACTACAAGACGCCTTTCGTTAACTCTAATATATGGCACAACTGAAAAATCTTTATCAATTCTAGGCCCAACATGTAGCGATGGAATTCTAAATCAAGGCGAAGCTGATGTCGACTGTGGAGGACCATGTACATCAATTCGACGATGTGATGTTGGGCAACACTGCAACGTGTCAACTGATTGTACTAGTGGAGTCTGCAATGGCACAAATCAATGTGCACGTATGTTTTCTTTCAACTTTGTGGAAATCGGCCAATAAGAACTTCCCCATCGGAATTTTGACAATTTCCAAATCACACCGGAGTTTCGAAAAATGTCCAAATGCTACTGAAAGTTGAACAATATTATCGATTTTCGACAATTGTAGAAACTCTTTGAAAACTACAGCAATATCAATTCTTGCTGGGTATTTTTTTTGTCCGATATCCGGCAGAATTTATATAGTATTAATTAATGTTGGATATTTTATTATCCAGATACCATATGGAATTCAGAGAATATGCACAACAGTTAGAATTGTTGTGTTTGATTGGAACACACATTCCTTCATTTCTCGGTTAATACAAAATTACAAACTAGAGTGTGGCTATACTACCTGGGGAACATATTTGATTGTATCCTCTCAGAATGAGTTCAAAATCATTCCATCTGTTAGGGACCATGATGAGTATCTCGAATATGAATATCTTAGCTGCTCTTGTTTTGATCTTGAAAAACAAGAGTGTCTAACCTTTTCATTTTTAAGCTACTTCTCGCTAGTAGACGTGTCATTTTCCGTTCTCTTTTCGTCAAATTTGCTAGAACACGCAGTCTTCCTTTGAACAAGCAATTTGACATGAGCATAAACCCATATGGAAGAACCTACTCGATATTACAAGTGAAGATATCAGATCCATTTTTCCAATGTAGTTTTCTATGTAGTGCGTCCATATGTTATCCGAAAATGATAAATCACCGATCAGATGAACATTTCGCTGAGAAACTTAGATACAACAGCTTCACTTGTGATATCGAGAAGGCTGCTCCATATCGATTAGTATTGAATCAACCTGCTTTCTCCAAAGAAGACTGATTCTTCTTGTAAGTTTCACAAAAGCACAAATAGACATACATGCACGGGTGAGAAATAGCCTAAAAAATAGATGCTCTCATTTCGAAGAGGGAAACTACAGCAGCTAATATATTCATATTCAGGACGCTTCTCGAGGCTCCTAACAAAGAGAATGCTTCTAAACTCATTCTGAGTGGATACACCCAGATATGTATTTTTTGTAGGATACATACAAAGTGACTCGTAGGTTTGTCTTAACCTACAAATGCAGGAGCGGTGTTTCAACCACATACACTACAGAGTATCGCGAAAGTCATCTAACAAAAAAAATTTGAATATCTCCCATACGGCTCGAACAAACGAGCTGATTTTTTTGTCACTGATGGAGGCATATTCAGTGTTTATATCCAAAAAGAAATGCCTAGAGAGACCGCTTGTTAAGTATCACTATTGGCTTCAACAAAAAATCTTACTTTTTCACAGATAGGAAAAAAAGTAAATACAGAATGGCGCAAAAGTCAGTTTGCCGAAAAAAAGAATTGAATATCTGCACTACGCCTCGAGCAAACGCGCTGATTATTTTATCAATGATAGGGATACGTTGAAACTTTATATTCATCAAGCCATGCCTAGAGAGATCCTTTGTTAAATATATTGTTTCCTTTTCCTACCTGTGCAAAAGTAAAATTTTTTTGTTGAGGCCAATAATGATACTGTTATGTGTTTGTTTTTTTCCTCTTTATTATTTACTGCTCGTATTCTCATGTTATTCTCTGATATCACTGAGACAGTAACGTGATGGTGTTACAAAACCAAACAAAAGAATAATCTCTCTTCGCATGGAATCGAACCATGCATCTCTTGCTTTCCAGGCAGTCGTATCAACCACTGTACTAGAAAGGAGTGTATCTTATTCTGTTTGTTTCGTCTTATGAATGAAGGGGAACACTTCAATTCATAACAGATACTTAACAAACGGTCTCTCTAGGCATATCTTTATGCATATAAACTTTGAACATGTCTCTATCATTGACAAAAAAAATCAATTCGTTTGCTCGAGCCGTAAGCGACATATTCAAATGCTTTATGGTAGCTGACTTTTCCAACACCCTGCACTTCAGACTGTTAACGATCTTCTATGAGTTTCAACCAAAGGGGAAAAATGGACTCCTGGAATCCCACGGAAGCATGGAATCCGATGGAATCTGGTAGAATCCGACGTAGAACAAGTTACATTAGAATCATATGAAGCATCAATTGAATTAATTGAAAATTCAAGAATAGTAACATCATTAAAAACTATAAAATTTAAAAATTAGAAAAATTAAGTAAATTTATGTTTAATGAATTAAATTTAAAGTCAAGAGTGTATGATAGTTGAACAGGAACAATAAACGTTGTTGAGGACATGACTTCAAAAGCAGATGATTATGAATATGAAACTAACGACGATGAAGATAACGATGATAATAACAGTAGTGATGAAGATGAGGATACTGCATCTGATAATGAAGAAAATGCTGAACGTGTTCAATCTATAAAAACAATATTTTCTGGAACACGTATCAAAGATAAAATTAATTCTAATTTAGCAAACTCATATTTCAAAGTGAAAATTAGTGATATGACGAAATTCTTACATAAACAGTAAGCAGTATCGCAATTGACTGAGAAAAATAATCATCTGTCAACCGATAGGTATCACGGCCTATGGAAGAGACCAAGTAAAATTAAATAAAAAATAATTGGAACATTTCTGTCTATTGAAACACCAATTATATGATTATCGATATCAAAAATATCACAAAAACTTCATTAATAAAAGAATTTCACTAATGCAATTATATACTTAGACATCTGATAAGATAAATCGATCTGAAACTATTGATATATAAATGAGAAGATTTGCTCGATCACAATACTTCTAGTCGAGGTAATGTGATCCTATGAACTACAACTAAGGAAACAAATGACAAGTCATCAATGTAAATGTGTATCAAAAACCACAAAAGAATAAAATAAAGAAGAGCGAAAAACAGATATCAGCATGGAAACCTGAGGGTGATACAGATGGAGTCCTTTGACAACTCTAGAAGTTCATTGAAAATCTCGAGGAGTTTAAAGGAATCCAACAGAATCTCATGGAATCCTAGGAAATTCTAGAGAATCTCAGAGACTCCTAAAGGATGCTAGGGAATCCTTGGCATCCAAAGGAATCATAGGGAATCTTTGAAATCCACAGCCATTCAGGATTCCAGGATTCCGATTTTTTCCCCTGGATTTCAACCGAATCTTGACGCGAAAATATCCCGCATTAACGAACGCGTTCCAAACTCAGTGGACTATCTGACAAGATACCCAATATCACTTGATTCTCGTAACTTTAGAAGCACTTCCACCAATCTCTAGAACCAAAACTATACCCCAACCTACATTAGTACCCGGAATTTTCACGAATCGCTCACGGACTTCCGAAATTATCCAACCTTTGAAATCAAACTTCCTATTGTGCAACTTTTTTCATGACGTTCTTTCCTGTTCAGCGTGCAAACATTTCTCTTCATGCTCTAGCTCCAACATGTAACGATGGAGTTGCAAATGGAGGCGAGACTGATATTGACTGTGGAGGACCATGTGCACCCAGTAATCCATGTAACATTGGACAGGAGTGTAATACATCAGCAGATTGTGCAACTGGAATCTGTAACGCTTCCAACCAATGTACTGGTATGTATTCTTTCTGCAGTAATTATTCAGTATTCGACCTCAATTTTTTAGGTCCCACGTGTAACGACGGACTTCTGAATCAAGGTGAAGCTGATATTGACTGTGGAGGACCATGCACACCAATTCGAACATGTAACATCGGACAGCACTGCAATGTATCAACAGATTGTACAAGTGGAATCTGCAATAGTTCAAATCTATGCGATGGTATGTGCTCTTTGTAAAGCACTCATTCACCACTCGCTTTATATTTTTTAAGGTCCAAGATGCAACGATGGAATTCTAAATCAAGGCGAAGCTGATATTGACTGTGGAGGACCTTGCACATCAATTCGAACCTGTGAAATCGGACAACACTGCAATGTATCAACAGATTGTAC